TAATAACCTTCAACCTTCAGTTTCATATATTCCATCAAAAAGTCAGATCTTTCAATAACTATTATCATTTCTTTCCGTGCAAATATAAATAAATTACTTGTACATTGAATAAATAATGCGCCTAATCAAGCCCTGATTTGTTCCCATCTATTCCTGGACACTCCTTTCTAGAGTCTGAGCAGTATCCGGGCCTTGCTTCCAATATCTGTTAAATTAAATTCAACATTATCCGAAACCATTTCACCCGACACTTTATTGACTTTCATATACGATACTTTAACTTATATGATTTTACTTACTTTTCAACAATGTTTTCAGCTTCTATTCGTAGGCAGTTTTGTCAAAAACTGAAGAAGTTTCTATATTGCATCACATCATCAGCTCTTCTACAAATCTTGCAATAAAAAAGATGTCTTCTTGGCACTGATGCTGTGTCACTTCTCCCTTCTGTGATGGACTTATTGCTAAAGTTGCTTAAAAGCTATTGACTACATTAAATATTTACAAAAATAAATATCTACTATAAGAAATAAAGTAATTAAAATGCAAGTAATTACAAATTAAATATTTCATAAATACTTATTATTGCTATCAAATTGTTAATTTAACTTAATAGTATATTAATGTTACATCTAATGTTTCAATGAATTAAATGTAATACAAATATTAAATAATGGAAATTCTCCGAAATATGTGGAATGAAATCGTTCACGTCTACTCTCCCCTGTGTCTACGATCTCACAAAGATTCAACAGGCTGAGGAGAAGGGCTCGGCCAGCATCTCTCTCTGGGGGTGCCAGGCCAAAATACACAAAACAGTCATAAACACGTCAAACTGTCCTTGAAACTCGGGCACTACATAACCTGAAAAACTAAAATAAAACGAATAAATGTAAAATTATGGAAATGGTGCAAGTCACTCGCAATAATGGCAAGCGTTCACAATATAGATGCTGCGTAAATGTTGGTGGAATCTCCAGAAGTAGTCTTATTAATTTTTTTTTTTTTTAATTTTATCAAACATAAATTAATAAGTCACTATTCACATTACTAAGATATATATCAGGTAATTCTGGTAATGTTTGCAACAAGAATTGAAAACGCACAAATATATGAAAATACCCTATGTTGCTGTCTATGTGACAGTAACATTTTTTCTAAGTTGCATTTTACTCTTTGCTTTAAAATGGTGAAACAACAATTTAATGTTTGTTATTTTTTCTTTCCTTAATAGGGAGGTCGACATGTTGATCACGTGACGGAACAAATTGTGAAGAATATTCTTGATAAAGCAAACAAAAAGCACAAAGGATCTGGAATAAAACAATTTCAAGTGAAAAATCATCTGTGGGTGTTCCTTAACTGTTTGATTATTAATCCTACCTTTGACTCTCAAACCAAAGAGAACATGACAACAATGATCAAAAACTTCGGTTCAAAGTGCCAGCTAAGTGAAGCCTTCTTCAAGAATGTAAGTACTGAAGATGAGGGTGTTTCTATTTTACAAAAAAATGATGACTATTTTATCTGATGATGATATTTATTGCACTTTTTCAGTGTTGAAATTTGGTGAATTGTAATAATTTTTGAGTCCCCTAAAAGTAAAAGAATTCGTTCTCTCACCAGGTATGCAAATGCACACAGACACAGATTGGGGGAGGGCCAATACTGGTACATTCTTTTACTTTACTACATGAGAATTTTCTCTCTCTAAATTGGTGCTAATAAGTGTACAGTTATTAGCAATTTTAAGTATCAAGTATCGGTGGATTTTTGAAACTTTCTAAAAAGATAAAGTTTCAAAAATATGAGGAGAGATTAAAATTGCCTTTTTGAGAACACACATTCCTTCAGCAGCATTCCATATTAATCACAATTGTGTGAGAATCACATTTACTTTACTTTGCTAAAACGATAAAACATTCATTTTCTTTAAATGCAAAATAGATACTTGAATACAAGCAAAACATGAACAAAATAGGCAATGTTTTTTGCCAAACAAACTTATACACTAATTGGTTTAAACTGGCATGACAATGCAGTAAAATTTTACTCGTATATGTGGTGAAAAATAAAAATATAATTTCGTGGTTGGTGTGAATAAGTGTTTAGTCTTTGTTTTTAATGGAAGTTGGGGTAGCTTGTTTTCCCACCAGAAAGAATACTTTTTTCCCCACTTTTTTGGATGTGCCCCTTTCATGAAGGTATAAAAGTATTTGGGGTAAAAGTACTCCAATTTATACCAGCCAAAGTGCTACTGATTTGTCAATATTTGATGTGCAAATTCTTTTTCTACTAGCAACAAAACCTAAATTCTTTGTAGCAAAACAAGTATAGGATTCTTTATGACTCTCAAACTTAAATTGTTACTGGAGTTTGGTTGGTCTACCTTATCATCCTCACATTATTACTCTACAATCTATTGAAATTCTGATTTAAAAAATCAGAATTCATTCCAATTCAAAGAGTTGTGTGGATTGTGTGCGGGTTCAAAGCATTATTGTGATATAGTAATTGTTGAGAATGTTTTTTAGTTGAATGGTTTGGGCAGTCACTGTGCTGTGCTTCGTACAAGTGAAAACAATTATAGGATTATGGGAAATGAGCACTCTAATTAAACGATTTACATGAATTGTGGATTTTCTTTTTTGTGAGAATATTAGGAGTTGCATAATTCTTGTAATTGGAAAAAATATAAAATATGTGTGTTTGTGTTTTCATTCTTTCAGGTCGATAAAAACTTGGGCATTGTGGAACTGGTAGTGTCCTTTGCAAAATTCAAGGATGATGCAAAAATGGCCAAAGCAGGAGGAAAGAAACAAATTAAACTTCATGGTATGAAGAAAATGCAGGTTTTATCTATGTATTGCTTTTAGTTAGAAAAAAGTTGCAGCCTTCTACTCAACAATATTTCATGATTGTTTCGTTAAATGAATATAGTGAGCACTAGATTTCTTCTCTCTTGCGCATATTAACAAGTTTTATATTGTAAATACTAAATTTTAATAATATTTTTAATATTAATAGAATGAACACTATATGTTTAGTCAATTGCTCATTATTTCATGTGATTGCATGATGGTTCATTGAGTTGCTATTGAAGGCAGTTTTTATTTTGTACTGTGGTATGGCACGAGCATGAAATTATATTTATGAAAGCAAAGATGTAGAAATCATCTGGCATGTGTGTCATTTTACAAAACAGTATTCAATGATTATGTACAGGATGGATTACGTTTTTAAGTGAAGTAGGTTATACAAATGCCTGCTATATTTCTGAACATACGGGAACACACACACATTGGTATTGGGTGGTTCCAACATGCATGTTAGTATTTGTTAGAAAAATTGTGTGTAAATTCTCATGAAACACAAACTTAAGCACCAAATGATTGACTGAAATATCCCCATGATGATCAAAACCACAATAACTCATGAAGAAGAGTCTTGCACCTTTTCAAATAATATCCATGGTCTCAATGTTCCCGCTCATCTGAACATAACGGAAGCTTAGCAAGAAAGAGTTACCAACAGAAACTGCAGGTGTCTTCCATGAATCAATGTGCAAAGAGTGGTAGATTTTCAACTTTCAGAGATAAAGTGGATTGTTTTGGGAAGGTTACCCTGAAGTATTTGCGTGGAGCTTGTATGTGATCCCAGAATTTCTGCAATTTCCATGCGCATTCAGATTTGTTCGTGATATTACATAAAACCGAATTATATGTGATGCCTGCAAACAATAAGACGTACTTAACTACTTAATAAAAATTACATAATATTATTGTTCAGGTTTTCCATATATTAATTGAATGTAACTTATATTGCAGTAGTTAACATAAATAAGATAATATACTGTATGGTTGCCATTTAGATTATATTGCATTTGAAACAATTAAAATTAATTTATGAATTGTAGATTTTAAAAATTATAATTTATAAAAAAATTGAATATCACATAGAATAAATTGCAAAATGACAATAATTGTTTGTAAAATTAGAAAGAAAGAAGTTAGCCAGTCATCCTCTTGTGAAAACTAATAGCACAAAACGGCACAGGACTTCTGAAGGGTTAATGTGAATGGGAATCCCTACTTGGGTAGTTTTTTCTATGTGAGTTGAAGTTCTGACTACCTTTGGAATGTATACATTCCAGAAGCAGGAATCTGTTATAAACGAGAAGAAAATGCTCATAATAAGTGTGATGACCCAATGATTAGCCACCACAAAGCGGTGGGGGTATTTTCGCAAAGGGAGTGCATCGACAAGTAGTAGATGTTAGGTTGTAATGCTAAATTTATTTAATGGCAGCCAAGCATATAACTTACCAGCCATGTGGCTCTGGCTTTGAGGACCCCAGTGGTGGATGCTTTGGGTCAAATGGATGAATTATGCTTACTAATCTACAGTTTAAATGATGTGAATGACTGTATTATGCTTACTAATCTACAGTTTTAATGATGTGAATGACTGTGGGAGTATTTGTTAAGTGTTGCACGTCAGTGGCGGGAACATGTTTATTAAAATCGTCAAAATTATGCTACAAATGTTCAATTGACTATTCTAATTTTACATTCTCCAGCTCACATATGCAACTTCTTCTCCTCCTCTTTTTTCTTTTCTTCTTCTGTTTCTTTTTCTATTCTGTTTCTTT